CGCCGGGTTTACGGACGCGTCCTGTACACCTACTTCTATGGCCTGCCCCCGTCAGATTGGCGGCTGAAGAAGGACACGTATTTCCTTTGCGAAAACGATTCAAGTGGAAACACGCTGATGTCACGTCACGTGAAGCCACGTGACGTTCGAAGAATGCTTGTTTCTATTATTTCAAATTTGTTGGAAACAGATCGGTATCACGTCGCGTTGCTCGTATATTGTCACGCGCGAACGGATTTTATTCCCTTGATTTCGCATGATTTCGCGTGACGTGATGTTAGCATGTTTCTACCTTCAACGGTTCGACTGCCGTGCCAACAACCTTGAAAAGTCCCTAAAACTAGAGTAATTTATTTAATTGAATTAAAATTGAAAAGTTACCTTCTACGACATCGATTACTTTGTCAACGTTCGTACGTTTTATGAGCCTCGCAAAATTAAGAAAATATAATAGGTTAGCGTGAACATGAATTTTCAAAATGAGCAGATAATTTCGTCATCTATAGATGGGTGACGCGACAGTCGAAGCGTTAATTTATATCGGAACGTAATTTTGTTGTTCAATATTATCGGGCATAATTTGTTTATACTCTGTCAGCTTATTACACAAGCGATTACAATCGTAATCAGATCGTGTTCGGTGTTATTGTAATCAGAAGAGAACCGTTGGTTACTATTTCTTTTTCAATCGCTATTCTTCGCTACGTTCGAAGCACCACGGGGAAATGTAGTATTTCTATTCAAATGCCTCAAAAGCGGCAGCAATTTCATTCATAATCTGACTAATTAATATAATTATTTATATAAATATAATATATATAATTTTTTAGATTATATACATAATATATAATTATTAATATCATGTAAGAACTTCTTTCGAAATTGTTATGTGAGAGATAATTAGCGAGCTTCTTCGTTGAAATGATCTGATAACACGCTGACATTGTTTCAAAATCCTTAGATAAATTTTGCAACCGGATTTGAAATCAGCGTGTCAAAATCTATACGAGAAATGATTTATAACACGTCATACGAAACAATCAAACTGTACACGGTATTGGATAAATCACAATTTTGTTCGAATGTTAATAGTTTACCATAAATTTTCGAGGTCGAAAAATGTACATTCTCTCTATTTTTCTCTCATTCAGCAACATTTCGGTTTCTACGTCAAAAAATAGAGCATCGGTTTGTCGTGTTTCTATCGAAAATTCGACGATTTTGACAGAAGTTCGTCGCTGCGCGGCGCACGCGTTTACAGAGAGAGCAACGCGGCAAATCAGCTTCCGAAGAGGCGCGCATTTCATTACTAATAGCAATTCCACGGTTATCGTTATCTAGTATTTTCAACTCTCCGCCGGAAGATTAGACTGCGGGCACCCGGTGAAAGAGGGCCAAAGAACAAAGGAGCCGAATGAATCAAAGGGATTCGGCCAACCGTTTCTTATCAAACTTGCCGTGAAATCTGCCGTATTGTTCTCGATAATCTGTCGCGCATCGCCGTAATGAAGTGGAATGGCTTGAATGGAGTTTCCGGGATATAGGAAACGCAGTCATTTATCGGTAGAATTCATTTTACTTCCCGCAATTCGACGTCGTCGCGCCGTGAATGCTGTCCGAGATCCGATGCCGAGCGACAAGCTTAAAGACGCGTTACTACTTACTTGCGAAACAAATCAATCTGGGACTTGGCAAACTGAGAACTTAATCGTGCTGCCATTCTAAACAGACTCCGTCTCATTCGTCGAATCAATTTCGAACGTGATATCTGTGGTTGCAAGGAGAACGCGGCGTGTCACGTGCTTTCGCTTTCGAGATATTGTTGCTTAAATGTTGCACGAAATTCGTACGAAGTTGAGATAAATTAATTTAGGTGACATTGAACAAGCGTCACACGTTTTCAGGAAACAAGTCCAAGAAAAAATTGTTACAGTTTATTGTTTCAATCATATGGTTTAGACTCCCACCATATAATTTTGATATAATATGATTTTAAAGCGATGAGACTTCGTTCTTGTTGAGAATAAAAAGGAAACAGAGATTCGTCAAAATATGAAGCATGCATGATGAAACTACAGTGAGATAATCTGACTCATAAATCCCTTATATGTGTGCAAAAACAAAAATCATTTTTGTTGAAGAATAGAACTTAAAAGTTTCACAGTTCAAATAATGCTTTGATAACAAAATATAATAAGAATCCACAGCAATTTACTGTTGCGTGGCATAACGAATCTCGTGATTGTCAGATTATTAATTTACTCTAAGGATAAGCCTTGTACCACATGTTTCCATTGCGCATCGTTTTGTCTTTAACAACCAGCCAGGAATCAAAACATGATGAAGAAGTCCATTTCAGAAGTGAATTGAGTAGGGAATCTCATTTTCACCGCAATTCTGCCTCGGTAAAGAGTATTCTTGCAATGAGACTCGACAATGGACATATCATCGCAAAGAAATAGGATACATAAAATAAGTAACATAATTTCGTATATAGAATCAAACCAGAACTCGTGTCGGTGTAACCACAGATTGAATGTTTTTAAATATTGTTGACTCTTAGTAAAGTTCTTAAAAGAAGAATCAAATGTTTACTCGACGAAATTCGTAAAACAGACATTTGACGTTGACTTTCACAGATGAAACATATAAATGTGTATGATTGTTTAATTATTAACTGAAACTCGGCGTGATCGAAGTTTGGATATTTTTAAATGTTGCTTCCATTATGTTTCGGCTTTGGTAAAATTTTTAAAAGAAGAATCAACTATTTATTTGACAAAGTTCGTACAACGGAGATTTGATTTCCATAGAAATGATATAATTATGTACGATTGTCTATATATAATGATTAACTAAATTTTAAAACTTAATTATTAAATCAGATTTAATATTTTTCAATATTCATTATATTGTGACTGTAGTAAAATTCTTTCTAAATTTTCGGAGGAAATATATAATTACATAATTATATATAATTGTAGCAGTATCACAGAATCACGTGTTTACTGAGCGATGGAATGTAAAATGACACTTTTATCCGTCGTATAAGCGACACATTTCCGTATCCAACGGAAATACCAGCATAATAATCCATCAGAAGCGGATCATAAATCTTCACCAGAAAAAGTACAATCGATAAAAGTGTGAATTTGACTTGGATCGATACAGCTTAGCACTCGGCGCGAGTCTGGAGACGGCTTTAGTTCCGAAGCGTCGAAAACGCGAAATCTACGTGATAGAACAGAGTATCGACCGACTACGAAAAAGTCGATAGAATCGATTTTGTAAGGTGGAACGTGATGGCGGGGCGAATATCGGACGGTTTCACTTGCAAGTATCGGAATTAATCACGGAAAATGAATACGGGACCGCTACCGCGTAAAATGTGGTTGCCAGCTCGCGATCTGCTAACTTTATTAATCTTAATTTAATCACCGCATATATTCTAAAACGTCGGGGAGGCCAGAACCAATTTGGTAGTTCGATACGCCCATAAAATAGCCTGGCGGGATCGCGGGTTCGTTTTATTAAATTCTCTCACGCAAAAGCTGTCGGCGAATCAAATTTAACGACACATTATCATTAGGCGAGGGTAAAAACGTGTGTGCCGCAATGCTCTTTGATCTCCGCCGCCCGGCGAGGAAAGCTTTTACCTCGCGATACGTCTAGCTTTTCTGGAAATAACGAATTGATTTCGGAAAAGTCGTCGCCGGTGCTAAATGCCGCGGAACTTGATTCGACGAGCCTAAAGAGAGAACAATGAAATTCGAGACGCGGAACCGTTCCATGTGTATTATTCTCAGAACACGGAAACGGTTGATAAATACTGAAAATGTTAATTTCATAACGCTCGCAATGTCCGTTATCGTGGGAAGTTCATTCTACCGGGAAAATGGTAGCCCGAGTAAAGCGAGATACATTAATGCCAGGTGTACGCTCGTTCGCCTTAAAAATACATTGTAATTTCTCTTGTTTAATGCGAAAGCGTTTCTACCAGAAATATGTATAAACGTGTCCGGCAGATATCAAAAGCAGTTAATTACGCTATGACTTCGACTCCATTGTATAACAAATCGTAGAATTGGATTGCGGTGGAAAACGTGTAAACCAATATAAACGGCGTCAGAGCGGTATCGGCTTCGAATAAAATTGTTGCCTCGTTTTCATCGATTCTTACGCATTCCTAAATCTCAAATTAACGCTTTGTCTGCCGCGGAATTATTTGCTGAAAATTCATTTAGCACGTTCATCTATCGTATTTTCCCAAATTGACTAGGAACCGCGAAACGTAAAAATGTTAATTCTACTTTTCAATTTTAATTTGATCGAATAAAATACTTTCCATTTGTGAAACTTGTTGGTTTGCTGACGTGGTAGATAAACCGTGAAAATCATTGTTTCTAAACTTATACAAACTCGTGTCTATGAAGGCGACGATTACACAGCGGATCTTTAGGCAATTTTTAAATTGTCTATACCACGATTGCGATAACGAGAAGTCGAATCAAAATATATCTCCTCTATTAATTAATTTAGTTAGTTGGAAATAATATAACAGCTTATTATTAAAACCTTCAACTATTTTCATTGTTCCGTGTTTCATCTTCTCGTTTTCCCCATAAATGCATAAAATCCGCTGTCTAATGACGATATCGATAGACGAATGTTTTATTCGCATTTGATTTTGACTTTGCGAAGAGAGCCTAATTGCTTGAGAGTGTGTTTTAGAAGAAAACTATCTTCTTATAAATATACGTAGTGTTAATTGATCGTATCTATACGTTAATTACTTTTTGGCCTAAATTGAAATTTCTATAAGTCAAGCTTATTCACTGTTTGCACGTTTCTTAATAGTATTTACGCGATTAAATTTGATTTGCCAACGGCTCATTGGTGCTGCACCACCCGTTACGTTTTGCTTAAGGAGATAGTCCTCTTCAAACATTGATTACAAGTGAATGTTATGCAGTGCTTGTAATTAGTAAAACGTTACTTACGATGTTTGACGTGCAGCCTAGGAACGGGATCTTGCGGCCAAGCCACGTTTTGCGCGGCTAAGCTGATTAGCGCCAAAATTCGCAGCGATGTGCTCATTTTGGAAGCGAGTGGCCCTGCAGGGTATCTTATAAATCAGCGGTAGCTTTCAATCCTCATCGCCGCTCCGATCGTCATACCTAGAAACAAATGATAGGAACAATTAATATTAAGGATGTAGGAAATCAATACAGAATTAGGCTAAGTTATGTATAATGTTTCGTTCATTTATACAGAGTGTCCCGTAATTATGTTAATTCTTGAAAGCGATGATTCCCGAGGTCATTTGAAGTAACTTTTCCCTTAGCGAAAATGCAATCCGCGATTCTGTTTACGAGTTATTAACGAGAAACGGTGACCAATGGGAGGCGAGATCAGCTGGCGCGAGACGGCCGAGCCAATAAGCGGAATTGGGCGTCAACTGCTCGTTGGCTCGGTCGCCTCAGGCCAGCTGTCTCGCCTCTCATTGGTCAATGTTTTTCGCTAACAACTCGTAAACAAAGCCGCGGATTACATTTTCACTAAGAGAAAACAGTTACTTCAAATTATCTCAGGAATCACCTCTTTCCGGGTGTAAACATAATTATAAGACACCCTGCAAATTTTCAGCTGAAATTTAACAATTAACTTTTTCTTGCATCTCACATTATTTAGTTCTCTAATTATACAACTAAATACTTTCAGAACGTTGAAGGCTTATATTTAATATGAAATTAATGAAAATATGAATAATATAAATATCTCAATTGCAGATGCTTCGAAAAGCTACTGATGCCGGTTATCGTGAATTAAACACCGATAAGTCCTAAATATCTCTGATTTGTTGTTCGTTACTTTTTTAGTGTATTTATACTACTATAATTAACTACACTATTATTATTGTAATTAACTTTTTGATAATCCATTCAACTTTAATTAAACTATTAAAGCAGCTTTTCCTTAAATAATTCTATAGTTCAGAAAAGATACATCGTCCAAACATTATCTATACAAACAATACTTTAACAATAAACTAACTGGTCATAGAACATTAGACGTAAATCACCTAACTGTCGAAAATCTTATTAATTAGCTTATTCTAATCACTACTCAAATTGAGACCGATACGCTTCGTTTCTCTACGAATCACCTAGATTACGTTCAATTATTCGCTTCGGCCATCATGCTCGAAACCCTTGCGACTCATAATTCCCCTGAGATCTATCAGAATTACGAGACTCACGGGGCTCACGCAATGCTCCAGTCCAATTGTAGAAACAACGACACGCTCAAAGTTCTCAAGAACTCATCAAGCCGCCGAAATAATTCTGATCCAACAAACTCTCCGAATCTAACCTAAACTAATTATTATTAAATGACAAGGAACGAAACATCCCTAAAACACGTATGCCCCGTTTTGGTAGAAAGATCATACCCCCGAGTTTATATTAAAACGAAGTAACCATAAATGAGAGAAGCTGCACACAAAAATCGAATTTTTAATGCATTGTTTGAGCAAAGAGCTTTTGTTATAATTTCATTGCGCGACTGAATCTCCCGTTCAAAGTCACAGAATTTAACCCGAGAAAGATAACCTACGTCGCAGAGGCGCCTGCGAAATAAACATATTGCTATCTAATTTTTCATAGAGGTCTAGTGATTTAAGTTTAAAATTACTTAAAATATAAAAAAATATAATATAAATGCATTTTATTTTTACAATAATGCCAAACCTTTAAAATGACTAGATTAACTTAAATAAATATCCATTGTTAGTATAAAATTGACGCCTTAGAAAAGCATGCGCCTCTGAAGCGTATGGTTATCTTTTACGTACGTTGTCATATGGTTATCTTTCTAGGGTTAAAGAAAAATTCGCTTTCTTCGACAATGCGGATGGTTGCCGATAAAAAGAAACACGTGTCAAATACGTGTCTTGAATCAAGATCACGAATTTCAAAATTGCTCAAACGATATGAAACCCTCAAAATACTCATCATACCCTCATCATACTACGTCACCAAGATCTGGCTAACTCGACAAATTCGTGAGACCCGCTTAAAAACCCCTTAGAGTCACAAAATACTCAAGATCGGACCTCCAAGTCATCTCAAACACACCAAACTTTGGAAACCTCTCAGTCTGGGGAGTTTAATGGGTGTCAAGGGACTTTGGCGTGCGTAAGATCCGAGAAGTTGAAGTGGAGTAGTCTACAGAGCTTGGAGATCTTACGAATCTGGAGAATCTTGACGGTCCCATGGTTCTGGAGGTTCTAGATAATATTTCTGAGCCCCTCAGGAGTCTCAGAAATCTGGGAAAAGTCTATGGAAGAACTTTAACGATTCGATGGTCACGAAGTCTGGACAGCGTCAAGGACCTTATCTTCTTTTTTGGAGATCTGATAATCTGAAAGATCTTACAGGGTTCACGGTTACCAGAAGTTTGGAAGTCCGCGATGGCTGAAAGATATTAAGCGCGCAATAACTGTCGAAGAACTTGAGATTTAAAATGCCTTTTCTTAAGGTTTCGAAAATCTCGTCGTTAACCAATTTGTAGAACTTATAACTGGACTGCGGAGTTTTATGCAAAATAAAGATCGCCTGCTTCAATTGGAAGAAGTAGAAACTAGATAGAAAGTACTTTCTTTCTTTAATAATTTTAATAGACTAAAACTAATACGCTGACATTATTAAGATCTTTTAACGTTTTTGCTATTTTAAATTGCAAGCATTCAATTGCATTAAAAATGCATAAAATTCGCTTATGTCAAACATAGATAAAAAGTTACCTACTCGTCCATTTACATACCAATAATTATGATAAACATAATTTGCTATGTTGCAAATAATGCAATGTTCAAATAATCAGTCGAATTCGTTACTTCTCACCCAAAAAAATCCTTGATTCTTAACAAAAATCTAAATTGTTAACCAAACTCTTTAACAATATTTCAGAGTGTACGTCATTTATTACAAATATATGTAGATTGCACGTCTTCGTTTACTTTAATTCCTACTTTAATTAAATTATCATCGCGCGTGTGTGTCTGACACATTGTTATAGTGCAAGGGATTAATCAAATTCGTCCACGATATTTTAGAGCGTATAACATCGTCTATTAAAAACATAGATGTTACTCGTCACCAACAAAAATCCTAAAAAAACTGCAAATAATGTGTAAATCTCCTCGATGCTCGACGAAAATCTACGTTGATTTCTATTTCTATTTCTACTTCTATTTCTGCAATAACGTCGCAGAAATAATAACATCGCCTGTTCGAAACAAAAATAAATGGTCGTCTATTCGATTATTTTCACGCCGATCTCGACCGAGCACAGTGTCCAATTCGCTCCTGAAATATTCAAATAATCAAACGAATTTGTTTCTGCTGGCGCGAAGAAGTTTCGCGCGTGGTTGCGTTAAAAATGCAGACATTTCTTAAATCTCCCCGGTTCTTAACAAGGGCGAGGTCGTCGCAAGTAGGAGGAAAAGTGTCTTTGTTCTTTTTCGTGGGGAACTTATACATGCGCGACTTCTTGCATAGCCGAGGTACCGCCTACTAGGGCGAGATAGGGTACGACGGAGGGAGGAAAGGAAGAAAGAAGGTAGCAGGTAAGATAAAAGGCTAACGAAGGAGGAGAACACCGCCGACTCGAACCAGTGCGGTAACGACGATGAACAAGACGACGATGGTATGCATTATGCAGAGAGGTCGCCAGCTGGAACTACTATTTGTCCTGGTGCTTCGCAGTCGACTGCGCTATGACTTCGAATACACTCACGATTAGGTGGAAAATCGGGTCTACGCGCATATAGAGATTTCCGTTGAATCGGGCTGCATATCTAACACCGCTAACAAACTACCACCGGTATCTCACGCACAAGGTGTTTCAGAAATCCGAACTTCAACAACCGTATTTCTCACACGTTCGCGGATCTTTGCGCTGCATAGCCTTTGACCCTTTGCAATCCCCAATAATTCCGCAATTCTGCTCCAGCCAGAGGATATACAATTATAGAAGGAAGTCGGCAAATATGGAATATTGCCATTGCACAGTGGTCGGGGAAGCGGAATCTTGTGGCAAAAATCCAAATTTTGAACTTCTGTATTTGGAACAATTTTTGTTTGCCACGAGATAATATTCTCTGTTAGAGAGAGAGAGTTTCAAAATATACAAATATATTACTTCTTTTAGATTATTTATAATGAGAAATGCCGACTTGAAGACCGAGTAATGCAAATGAAGATGAAACTAATTACGGTATATTCTCCCTAATTGACGCTCAGATTGTACACAAAAATGGACAATTTGGGAAGAGGAGATACGATTATTCGAAACTTGTATGATAACAATTATAAAAACAAACCGCAAAGCTCGAGTAATCGTATCTCTTCTTCTCAAGTTGTTTATTTTTGTGCACAATCTGAGCATCAATTAGGAAGAATTTACTATACTTCCATAACACATTATAAAACGTTAAAAAACAAGTTTGCATTGTACTTTAATGCTTGTTGGTAAGTATAATTCAATTATTGAATGGCGTCTTTACCAAATTTCAATATGCTTGCAAACGAGGTAAAGTTTATAACACAGTTGCAGCTTTGAGAAGGTTCATAAAAAGATGTCATACTTAAGACTCCTCCTGTATGAAAGTTGAAATTGTTGGAAAGGAAATGAATGGTTATTATTTCAAAACAGACCACGATTTCTCGGACATATTCGATGCTCTGGCAAAAAAATGTTTCTAACAAAAGTTGGTCGTATTGATGTTTCTAGAAATTAGAATACAAAAACTTGCAAAGCAAATTTTTTTCTTATAAGAAAGTGTTGGTCATTTCAATTTTTTTCTATTATGTCAATATACATTAGTATTATAATGTACATATATTAGTATTATATTAATACTAATTGTATTCGAATTCAAAAAACGTAAAAATGTTGATAATGTAATTGATATTATGTAACTTAACTTTTCAGTTTCGCGCGTTTGATTAAAAAAAAAACAACTTAATTTTATGAAATTTTTGAGATGGTTGGCATGACAATCAAAATGTTAAAAACAGATTACCATATGGTTAACTCCTTGATGTTCCAAATATGGAATGATTTGAAATAACTATATCTTTGATTTAAATTAATTTAATATATGATACTATAA